ACTTCACTGATTCAAGTTTGTAATTCGAGTTGAGATGTGATTTTATGTGAGAACTTTTTACTGTAGCAAAAAAGTTAGATGTGACTATTTCTGAGAGCTTTTTACTGTAGCAAAACTTGAATTTTAAACTCGAATCGACGAAATGAACGGGGCCTACATATTTGGAGAGAGATGTTAGTCCACTCCTCATTTGTATTCAAGTTGATCCCGCTATTACTTTACTATACTTTGTATCTATAATCATAAACATTGTTGGAGCCCTTCCACTTCAATGGTACACTAATTTCTTTTAGCAAGTAATAATATGAAAAATATATCACGGTATTTCTTTAAGAGCTAAATAAATACATATATAAAAAACTCATGAGACATATTACAATAGTTTTCGATGACAGTGACGGATTCAAGATTTTATTTTAGTGGGGGCACAAAAATTTCATAAACTAAAATTATGATATGAACTTATACTAAAATACAAGTGACCATTAAACAAATTACAAAAAAATCAAAGTATGTTTCAAAAAAATACTTATACATACCTTCTGTACCTATTATATATATATATATAATAAATTATATTAGTTTAAAACTACAATTTGTCCAGTCTAATTATTGAAGCCAGAAAGTTTAAGGGAGCAAATAAAAAAGGAAAGCAAGCGTTTGAATTCTACTGTTTTTAAGTAATTTGTTAATGTTCTACTTCTAGCGTAAAAGAAAACAAATGAAAATGAGTAATTAGCTCAATTTAGACCAAATAAGGAAAATATAAGGCTTAAGTGGGGGCACATAGCCAAATATCTTTCACATAGCAAATTGCCTCTGGATATAAAATAAAATCTCTTTGAAGAGCTTTTTACTCCACTTCTGTAGATATTAACACTGGAAATGAAATTAACTAGGATTTCTAAAGATGAAATTAGCTTTAGTTAGAGATGTGGGGTATATTTTTTTATGCTTTGAAAAATACATTCTAATTATAATCTTTTAAAAAAATACCATTTCTATTTATAGTTTATGTAAGGATATGTTCATGGGTTTTAATATAATTTTATTACTGATTAAAATCGTAATAAATATAGATTATGAATTAGTGGAGACATTAATAAATTTAGTGGGTTTTAATATAATAATACTAGAGCATGAATACTAAACCGGTCCACAAAACGAGAAACATTACAAGACAAGGCAGAGCCCACTTTGCAAGGTTGTGGGCCATAATTTTACCCCTCTATTTTTCTCGTTTAGTTCGCTAATTTAAAATTTTAATTTAAGTTAAGATGTGATTTTATGTGAAAATTTTTTAATTATAATAAAAAAATTAAATGTGATATTTTGTGAGAATTTTTACTGAGACTAAATCTCCAACGCCATTTTAAGAGGGAGCTCTATTTGGCGCTTCTCTTGTATGAAAAAATGAACTTCATGTTTTGTGCATATTCCCGTTTTCAACTCTCCTTCCGTATCAGCCATCTTGCTTTCATACACTACTTAGCCCAATACCGAAATATCTTGCTCTAAAATTCGCTTTGTTTTCTACAAATAGAAATTTTATAAGTTATATGAGGATTCTTTTATGAAGTGGGAAATTACATGTTTTAGTTAACTATATGTCTTGTTCACTTCGCAGATTCGAGTTTTCAATTCGAACTGATATATGATATTTTCTGAGAATTTTTTACTGTAGTAGAAAAAATTAAATGTGACATTTTCTGAGAACTTTTTACTGTAGAAACCTAAAATTAAAAACTCAAATCGATAAAATGAACGAGGCCTAAGAAAAATAAGGAACAGTTTACACTAAATTGTGGCAAGCGTTAATCTAATCCAAGTTAGCCTATAAGTGAACGTCTTTATGTTATGTTTCTTCGTAATAAGCCAAGCGTAGTGTCGTTTATTAGAATGTGCCTGAACGGCTTGTCGTTAGTACTATGCTGCAGGTCGTTTAGGTCTCGTGTTCAGTTCGTTCATTTCCGGTTTTTAATTTGAATTGTAATGTGATTTTATATGATAATTTTTTATTGTAACAGAAAAAAATTAAATATAACTTTTTATGAGAATTTTTAACTATAATATAATTAAAATTAAAAACTCAAATCGGTAAAATGAATAAAACTTTTAGTGTTTAAGCCATTGAGTTGAGTTCATCGTTGCTGGTCTTCTGACTAAGTCCTCTAGAATGACAAGAATTATTTTAAAAAAATTTATTTTCTCATGAATTTGTTTCTCTCTTGTTTGATCAATATCTCCATTAGAAGGGTTCTATCTAGCTACAAGAAGATATTGATCAAACGAGCTAGCTTTATACACAACCAATGATTGATATATATATATATATATATATTTTGGAGTAAAAAACTTGAAATTTCAATAACTTTCAATAACAGATTGTCTTTCATGTCATTGTAGTTGCTAAAATGGAGAAACCTAACTTCATCTGCTTCAAACGGCAAGAGCACTTCAGAACAATATTCATCGTACAAACATCGGGTTCAAAATCATCACAGCCCATCATCTCTCTGTACATAGAGACGACAATGGAATGGCGGTTCTTCTTGGAAAGCGCACCAAGTAAATGATTGAATCATGGAATTGAAGAAACCCAAAGCTTCGTCAAATGTTAGGTTTTCAGATTAACATCGTGCTTTGACCAATTCCTCAAAACAAGGAAAAGTAGAAGCATAAGAATGAAAATGGAATCTGAAAATCCCAAAGAGAGAGAAAATAGAAGAATTAGCAGGAGTCCTAGAGATCAGCATTTGGGTCTTCATCTTCAATTTCTTCTCTAATCTCATATGCAAAAGTTGGTCTCTTTAGGTTTCTCCAAACGGCGCCCTCTGATTCTCTTTCTGTCGTCTCTCTCACCCTCATGATTTTTTTTTTTTTTTTTTTTGGTCTTCTAATAATTTTTCCTAATTTTGATAGCCGTTATGTTACAGACTAGGGCCAGTTTGGAAGAGCTTATTAAAATCTGTTTTTGACTTCTCATGTCTAATTATTTTTAGAAGTATTTAGATGATCCGTTAGAAGTGTTTTGACTTTTCAGAAGAGTTTTCAGTAAAAGTCAGAAATTATGGCTTTAAAAAAAATACTTCTGAATAGACTTTGAAACTTGTACCAGAGTTTAATTAAAGTATTATAAACTTAATTCTAACACTTTTATTGCTTGTTAGAAAATTTAAAAATCATTTTGACCCATTAAGCTCTTAATTCCAAACACTTACTGAAAAGTCACAGCTTTTACTTCTCTTCTTCTACTTAATCTTCTGGACAACTTTTTAATTTTTTTGCCCAGAGTTCAGTCGCGGGGTGATCTACAGTGTGTTGGAGTTCGTGCCGTGAAGGGACGAGGGGTTGGAGGGAGGACTGGTATCTCCGCTGCTACTCTGAGGTCTAGTACAAGGAGGGGGCGTCGGGGCCGGCCGTGGAGGTCGTGGGAGGCTCCAATTGTCTCCGGGGGAAGGGTCGGCTGGGTAAATCTGCTGCGGATTGGGTGGTCTCTACCGTCGTTCGCCCTCTATCGGCGTTGAGGGGCCTGACTGAAGTCGTGGTTGGGTTCGTGCCGCTTTGGGAGGTGGTCTGAGGGCTTTTTGACCTTAGCGTGGGTTTGGCGTGGTGGGGCTGTGATGGCTCTAGTGGGTTCTCTGGTGGTTGGTGGCCGGAGTTGGGTGACGAGGACTCCTGGGTGGTTGGCATTGAGAGACCCCATGTCCGCAGATCGCAATGATGATTGTTCTCTGGTTTTGTGTTTATTGTTGTATTCTGTTGTAATAAAGGTGACGTTTGTTTGCTCTCGTGTTATAATAAGGGCAGTGGTCTTCCCACCTAACCCTTGTTTATTTTGTTATTTAATTTTAGTTTTTGATGTCCAGCATGAGGCCAGGTGTATGTCCATTGATAGAGTGGTCTTGGTTTGGCTAGAATCTGTTCTAGGGTGCGTAGATGTCCCACCTTGTAGGGATTTATGATGTGCCCCTCCAAAGTTATGAGGCCTTATTTGTTTGGGAAGGGCCTTTTTTCCGTAGAGCCTTTAGGGTGCGTTTAATTGGGTGGAAAGGAAAGGAATATAATAGAATTGAATCTAAATATGATGTTTTGTTAGATTTATAAAAAAAAAATCATTCTAAGCTCTTTTTTTTTTTTTTTTTTTTTTTCTAACCCTTGAATATTATAATATAATTATATCATATTAATGATATTACAATATAATATATACAATAAAATATAATAATACAATAATAAGATATAATATAATATAGTTATAATATTGTAACAAATAATATCATAATTATATTAATAATTCTAGTATTATTATTTTATTATTTAATATGATATTAAAATATATATTATCTATAGTGTAGTTATGACTACTTAATGTATTTATTATAATATAATATAATATTATTTATATATTATATTATAATTATATATATATTATAGTACAATATAATATAACATAACTGTAATTTTTAATTATATTATAACTGAAATTTTATTGTTTATTATATAATTTTATAATATGTTTTATGATATTATAATTATATTAACCATTTTAATAATATTATTATATTTTATATTATAATTATATAACAATAATTTTAATACATTATATTACATTTTATATATTATATTAATTATATTGATATATAAAATATTAGTGTTTTGTGTAACATAGGGTAATTTTATCAACATGAAAATATTCGTATTTTATTTCACAATATTCTTAAAATTACAACTAAATAAATGAATCAATTTTCTTTTTCATTCTATTATCATTATCATTCTCGTTCTCATTACTATTACTATTTTCCTACTGCAACTAAATGTACTCTTAGTGTGCTCGTTTGTAGTATAATGAGGTAGTTTCCCGTTGTTGGGGTCTTAGGCGTGCGTTTTACCCTTCGACGGCTCAACAGATTTGTACCGAGACGACTATTTACTAAATATAGAGTCAACCAAACAAATGAATTAATTTTTTTCATTACATTACTATTATCATTCCCATTCCCATTACTATTTTTCCACCCAAACGCACCCTAAATGTGCTGGTTTATAGTATGTTGAGGTAGTTTTCCGTTGTAGAGAGCCTCAATCGTGCGTTTTACCCTTCGAAGGGTCAGCAAATTTGTGCCGAAACGTCTGTTTATCAGTTTGCGCTGAAATTTGTGCGGAACATGATCCATCCAAGTACCCATTCTATCAAAACGGATCAGAATAAATAAAGAAGCGCCTAGAAGTCAGCCCCCAAAAGTCTAAAAATCCCAAACGGCCAAAAACCTTTTCAAAACTGTTTTCGTCTTCAAGAGCACTCCTCTTTCTCCAGCAGAGAATTCGATTCCATCAATGGACGCCTTTCCCATCCCCGCTGACACCTACAAGCTAGGGTTCATCGGAGCAGGAAAAATGGCGGAAAGCATCGCCAGAGGAGTTGTCCGATCCGGAATCTTGCCCGCTTCTCGCATCACTACCGCCACTCACTCCAATCCCCTTCGCCGCGAGGCCTTCAAGTCCTTCGGCGTCAGAGTCCTCTCCAAGAACGACGACGTATTGCGTCTTCCTACCGCTGTTTGGTATCGTGTTTGTTTTTTGTTAGTCTGTTTGGTTGCTGAGAAAATGTGGATTATGATGATTGATCCATTTTAAAAATATTCTCTACTGTGAAATCTCGAATGATCTAGTTTAAGTGTGTGTTTTTTTTTTTTTTTTTCCTGTGTTTAATGGGGTTGTGATTCTCTGAGGTTATTTTGAACTGCCAAAGTTATATGAGTTTCCTAGTTTTTCTCAGTAGTCGAACAGATTCTCTCTTTGTTTGTTTGTTTTTTTTTTTTTTTGTTAATTTTGTTTGGTTGTTTAAAGAATGCAGTATAGTAGAATGGAAATGGAAATTGCGGATTTTTTTTTTTTTGAATGACGTTTTTGTGCTGTAAGGTCTGTAATGCGGGATACCGTAATATTGGTTATTTTTCATTTTCCTACATTTTCTCAGCAGCCAAACGGAGTTTTAGTCCTTTTTTTTCCCTCTTAATGTCATATAGTGTATGTTTTCTCGCTAGTGGATTGAAACCTAATTTGCGATTGGTTGTAACAGGTAGTTGAAGAGAGTGACGTGATTGTTTTCTCTGTCAAGCCTCAAGTCGGTATAGCCCAGTTCTGAGTTCTATTCTTGTTCCTTTCTCTATTTCATTTCCTATTTTCTGTTTATGTGAAAAACGTTGATATTCACAAGACTACTTAGAAGAGAGGCGGAAAAAAAATCTTTTGAAAAGCAGTAATGGAAATCTTAATGTGTGTTGAGTCCACTTTGATTCTTGCTGCAAAATGTTCGGAGATTGCTTTTTCGCTTTTTTTTTTCTTTTTTTTTTATAAAATTTTTTCCCTTTTCTTTCTTAAATGTTGATTTTTGAAATTATGAGATTTTAGCATTATTATATATCAATTTTGGCTCTTTCTATGATCTCAGTTAAGGATGCAGTCTCAAAGTTGAAGCCACTTCTGTCGAAGAAGAAGCTTCTGGTTTCTGTTGCTGCTGGAATAAAATTGAAAGATCTGGAGGTCTATTAATCTGATCTCATATTTCTAAGTCTAAATTTTAAGTTTTTATTTGGCAAGCTTATTTGTGCTAGTAAATGTGAAGAATTATTTTTGGTGAAGTTGCAATTGACAATTCTTGGCCGTTAATAAACATCGACCTATGTAGGTCTCACTGTGGTAATATTTTTCCTAGTTGACGGCTTAGAATAGATAATAATACATCCCCATTGCCATTGCTAAAAATTTGCACAATCATTAGCTACTATTGGCCTCATGATCTCTTTAAATTCGAGGTTTAGCTTTATGATTGATGAAGTTTACGCATCCGTAGAAAGAGTAACAAGCTTTTGAGCTAAAACCTATGAACTTTATTGAGTGAATGAATGAATAATGATCATGGAGTACATAATTTATAGCTCTTTTGTGGTTTGAATCCTACCAGAACAGAAACTAATAATCATAATAGAACTAGAACTAATTTGAAAGATAAAGGATAAAAATAAACCCAAAATAAAACTAAAAGATAAAGCCTAAGATAAATCCTAAAAATCCTAAATCCTAAAAATTATAAACGTATCTCTACATCAATGATGATAGGACATTTATTTTTTTAAATGGTGATAGGACATTTTGGTTGCTCACCGCATTCAACAAGGGAAATAATAACTTTAGAACAAAAAGAAATGTCTGTTTGCTTAACTTGGATAATGAAGTGGGATCTGCAGCTGTGTTCTATTTGCCATCCTCATGTTTGTGCTCTTTGCTTCCTACCTTGATCAACTTATTTGTTATATAATATGAGTTTTAGTAGATAATATAGTAACAATCTCTAAACTTGGTTCAATTAATTTCAGGAATGGGCTGGTAGCAGCCGATTTATTAGGGTTATGCCAAATACTCCTGCTGCTGTAGGCGAGGCTGCATCAGGTATCATTTTCTGCTAAGATTTCCTTTTTTTTTTTTTTTTTTTTTGGAATAAATGTTGTTTCATGTAATGCAGTTTTTTCCTTTGCTGATTTGTTAGCTGGGTGTTTTAGTATCGCAATTTTCTCGTTCAATTGCAAGTTTGATACTGTACAAAGGATCTTCATATTCCTTGGCTGGAGCATATTTCTACTTAGAGTTGTCCTATTGTTAAATTCCAGTATTTCATTCTATTTCCACATTATATTTGTACAAACTTATCAAATCATTCATTTTTCTGTTAATTTTTATATAAATATAATTCTTGCTGCTTATAGTAATGACTCTGTTTTAAACATAAATGTAAAACACTTGTGATCCTAATAACTAACTACAGCTTTCCTTAGAAACTCTGCAAGTCACTTCAAGTTGTCACGAACTACTTTACTTATAATTAGCAGTGTTAATATTTTCAATAAAGTAACAAGAACGTAATCTTATTATTCCTATTCTTATTTCAGTCATTTGTTGCATCCAAGTTTACTCAACATTTGGTGCAATACTTGATACATATTTTCTGGTTAATGAAATTAACCATTGTTTCTTAATTTGTCCTAAAAGTTGGAATGATATCAAATTGGTTCCTGTTGGGTTGGTATGAGTCACGACATGTGACCTTAGTAACAGAAAGGACTACCTTTAGAAGGCACGAAATGCAACGACAAGAGGTCTTTTGATTTGCTTTGAAGAATTGTATATTTGTGTGAAAGGGTATATTGCCAAGGTTTTTATTTACGTCGTATGAAAGAGATTCAATATTGTGAAAAGAAATTGGCCTACCTTTTACATACACAAGCTTTAGTATCTTTCTGTTGATTCATTTATCTTGTTGCAGATCAATTAAATTTTTTTTTTGATGTCTCTCTTATTCTTGTTGGCATACTTTAGTTTACATATGAAAATATTCAAGGTTTCGTTTTCTCTCTTTAATAGTTATGAGCTCGGGAGGAACTGCAACAGAGGAAGATGGGAACTTAATTGCCAAATTATTTGGATCTGTTGGCAAGATATGGCGAGCAGATGAGAAATTCTTTGATGCAGTTACTGGCTTGAGGTACACGGCTAGTTTGTGATGAATCGAATTCTGGCTGATTAACATCCTAGTGCACAAAATACTAATGTATCTCTCTCTCTCTGCCTTCAAATTATACAGCGGTAGTGGTCCTGCATATATATATTTGGCTATAGAGGCTTTGGCAGATGGAGGAGTTGCTGCTGGGTTACCACGAGAACTTGCATTGGGCCTTGCTTCTCAAACTGTAAGTCACTTTGTGGAGCAGAAGAATATTATTATTTGACAATTCTCTAGCATCACTGCTCATCTCCATAATTCAAAATGTCTAGTTAGATCATCCATAAATCTTTCCTGCTTCAGAATTGTCTTTTTAAAATATTTGAAGCGCTCCCTTAAGTTTTTGATGAAGTTTCTCTTGCTTAAATGAAATGAATTTACTGAAGTACTTGTCATAAATACTTGAGTTTGGCGGTTCTGTCATACAAAGTCTATGTAGATACACATGTTGGTATCTTTATATTCTTGCCAGCATGAAGTATGTTCCTCTCTGAGCATCTCCTCTGAACTCGATTTTTCTGGGATTGTTAAGTTCTTGTGTTTCTATGCAGGTGCTCGGAGCAGCATCTATGGCCACTAAAACTGGGAAACATCCAGGTCAGCTCAAAGATGATGTTACATCACCTGGTGGGACTACTATCGCCGGAATTCATGAGTTAGAGAAGGGTGGGTTTCGTGGGCTGTTGATGAATGCGGTTGTTGCTGCTGCTAAGCGCGGCCGAGAACTGTCCTAGAGCCTTGTCATGTTGATTTTATCATCAATTCAAATTGCAGATAGAGCTTTTTGTCGAGCGAGATATTCATTTCACATAGCCTGCGTTCCGAGCATTATTTTAGCATGCAGTGGGGGGATTTCAGTGAGAATTTTGGGTGTTGCACCCTGATCTTTGGAATGCATGTTATTGCTAGACATTCAAGTAAAACGAAATGCAATGCATGCCACCACACCTTTACAAGAAAAGAAATTAAAAAAAAAAAAAAGAAGAAATCTCTGCCCCGGCAACATTCTCCTTTTGACTAAACAATTGATGTCGAATACATTAGGAAAGAGAAATTGATTAATTAAACAAAGCTGACGTAAATAAACTATTCAAAAGTTAATTTTCTATTGGAGATCATGTACCACGTAAACATGATGACATAGTACACCTTATTTTTTATTTTCAACACGCAACATCTGTACATTTTGAAAATTGACGGTTTAACAAAAATTCTCCTCCCATTAAAATGTTGAACGGAAATTAAATCTGATTTATTTGTATTGCTTAATTTGGGGTTATTTTGTTCGTCCTCTCTTATATAAAATCTATTTTTTATTTGAATCTAAAAATTATTGACCATTAACTTTGCATTAAAAAAATACCCCTCTATGTAGGTATTCTTCTCTATGTAGGTAGAGATATAAAATATCTTGAGAATTCTTTAAAAGAAAATACTAATTAAAGAGAAATTTAAAAAAAAAAACATTACGATTTCTTTTAAAGTCGCTTTATGACTGGTTTTTTTAAGCCTCCCTAAGTTTAAAATGTTTTAAGTTCGAGATCATTTAATATCCGGCTAATTTCAAGTGGATATTTTTTTTTTTTTAAAATACAAATACAATGGTTAGATAAAATAGTAACAGTACACCAAATGCTTGGAAACTACCACTTTAATTTTATGATGTGTCATTTCCGTTCAAAATTTTAACAGAAGGAGAACTTTTGTTAACATATTGTTCTTGAAGACCATGGATGTTACACATTGAAGGTTGCGGGGTAAGGGGTGATAGTTCAGAGAAAATTTGTGTAATTTATCCTATCTTATCTTATTACGTACACAGTAGAAATCAGAGTCAACCTAACACTTATTAAAGAGCCTTAACGTCAGTGATTAGGGCAAGGCATGTACTCTAGGCATGCTTATTAAGGCAAGGGTCAAGTTTTCAGTTTTCTAGTCATGATGTGGAGCAACATACTCTAGGCATGCTTATTTAGTTTCCATTGAAGGAGAGAAGATTCTCAAGCACATTGACATTGTTGAGGGGGCATTCTGAGGCAGGGCAAGTATCAAACCTCATATGTGCACCATCATTTTATCATTTTACATCTAACATTTTATCATTGCAAAACGAGACTCTACAAAAAACACGCACTTATTATCTTCTAGCGACGGTTGTGGCAAATTTTTTAGGGGTGACATTTGTCGTTGCTAAAAACCGTTCTCTCTTATAGTGAGAGGCGTATATACCTGCGGGCTCGGTTAGTTCACGAGCAAAAGCTATTGAAGACACAGCCAACAGCAGTAAGGGCACCTCGGAAACATTGTTAAAAGGCCATTTTAATTTGATATTTGGGATGTGATATTGATATTTAGAATAATATGGAATACATAAACAAGACGTATATGCAGGACGTATTTATATGAATAATAGAACTATTTTATTTTTTTATTTTGTTATTTATTTATTTATTTTAGATTTTGTCTTTTTACAAATTTTCTCTCTTAAACAATTCCTACAAGCCATTTTCGTGCGTAGTTTGTCTGCATTGTTTATCAACGGATCAAAACTATTTATTTTGGAATGGTGATGATAGTTAGACGTCTAAAACTAATTATCAGAATTCGGAAATCAACATCAGACAAATGCATGTCCGCATGGGTCAGTATTATAACTAAGCCCTTAAAGTAAGGATGATAAAGCTTCGCAGCCATTCTACAATTTTCTAGAATGAATATAAGTTATTGGGATTCAGAAAAAAAGTAGATAAGTGCAAATTTGACAAGAAGTGCTGGGGACAAGTCACAAATACAAAGGCCTCGTTTATTTCAGTTATTCGAGTTTTCAGTTTTAAGTTTCTACAGCTAAAAACTCTTAGAAAATATCATATCTAACTTTTTCTGTTACAGTTAAAAGCTCTAAGAAAATATCACATCTCAACTCAAATTGAAAACTCAAATCTGCGAAACAAACAAGGTAAAGTAAGCCAGCCAGCCAACTTGTATATATAGTGCAATATGGCAACGACTTTATTTTTTTTTTGTTTTTTTTTTTTTTTTTTTTTTTTTTTTTTTTTTTTCCCTTGTGTTGTTGTTGTTGCGCAATTCAAGGGTAAGAAAAATCAAAAGATAGTTTCTTTTCGTTTTAACGTTTCTTTTCTGGCTGCCCAACAGCTTCTTGCACAAGATAATTTTCCTAAATCTAAAGTAAAATACTGTGCTTAGTAGGTCACTGTGGGGGACCACAAGTTTTCCAAATCCTAGCTAAAGAGATTAGATTCAGGTCAAAAGTACTGCACAATATTATAAGAACTTCGAATTCCATTTTTCTAAAAAAAAAAAAAAAAAAAAAAAATTGTGAAACATTTTAGCCTTTTACACTATGGTATATTTAATTGTATGCACACGTTTCTACATATTATCACACTAGTAGTAATACATTTAGCTAGGGGTATAATTTATAATTTCTATGTAAAAAAAAAAAAATCTTAAGAGCAGTGTATACTTAAACCAGAAGAGTTTCTTTCTGAGTCAGGAAATATTCTGCAACACCATATGAGATATTCCATTTGAGTCTTGGACACGTAAGTAATTAGGAGTCATATTTAAACCGTTTATTATCACCAATGAAAGTAAATGACAACTAATATTCTTCAAGGGTAACTATAATATTCTTCAAGGGTAACTATATTGAACCAAACTATGCATGATAGACCAAAATCAAGTCAAGTGTGAATTTTAGCTCGAATAAGTAAACATGGTCTTTGTTATTTTGATTTCTCAGTAATTTTGTTTAGTAAATCAAATATTCACATTCTAGACCATCTTTACGAGATGATCTTATTTAATATGAGAAACTAATATATCCATATTTATCTATTCAGATCCAAGAAGTAGTGACATTCCTTTAGTACTGTTCAAATAACTTGGTATTTCAGAGATACAATTTCATAAATAATAGAGTATGTTATGGATATTGTTCTTATGGATCGCTTGTTCAGCAAACATATTATTAATTAGGTATATATAATATAATAGTCACGTCATGAAGACCCATTTTCTCATATATAAATTAAAAGTATAACGAGAACCAACTATGTTATATGTTTGCTGAGTGAACACTCAAAAACACTTTATTCATTATAATATAAAGACACCATTACATATATATAGGAGGCTAATTCATGATAGTAATAATCCTCCTTTGAAATATACGCATCTTGATATAGGTTTAGTTATTGTAATAACATATCATGGAGACACTAATATACTTTTGATTAAATAGAGCCCAAATTCAAGATTTAGGCATTAAAGGGTTTATCATTAAAACGAAATAAGTATAAGATATTTTTATATATAGGACATAGAGGTCGTTTGTCATTTTTGACATCTTCATGGTAATGCTGACTTTTCTGCGCTGCCCGTTGAAGGAATTCCTGGGATTCATGGGATCTATGGGAATCCAAATCCAGGTGTTGGAGTTCTTGGGATTCCTGGGAATCCGAGTCCGGGTGTTGGAAATCCTGGGATGCTTGGAAAGAATCCTGATCCGGGTGTTGGAGTTCCTGGGAATCCTGGAAATGGGAATCCGGGTATTGGAATTCCTGGAAATTGTGGAAAACCAGGTGTTGGGATTCCAGGTAACGGGGTAAAAAGCGGCCTTCCCTTAGTGATGCAAATTATGGAAGCTAAAAGCATGAGAAATAGTGGAAGAAAAAGAAATCCATAATTGGTTTTCATTTTTGATGAGATAATAATAAAGTGTTTTGCTCTCAGAAGATGAGAAGATGGATATATATATGCTTGTATAATATTGGATAAGTTGAGGAAGTGGAATGGGGTTTTTATACTTGAGATGTGATTGAATATGAAGACCTAAATGTATGCTTAATCCAAGGAATTAGTTTTGCCCTCAAGGTTTTGTGAGATCTATCTAGCCTAGCTAGTTAGGACTTTTTGTGTCTAAAACACATATATGGATCTGTGACACCCTTATTTCATATCCCATAGGGTTTGGTGTTCTCTAACTAGCTACCTACTTTTTGTGGTCACATATTTAACTGCATTGCTACAAGTAGCCCATAATTCGACGGCACATCATATTAGAGGACTTTGAGTCTCAAGTTTGTACTCATTTAGATTATTTGTCAATTCGTTTTTAATTTAAATTGTTATATGATAATACATGAAGCTCAATAAGTTTTATATACAAACTGTTCAAAAGACTGTACACTAATTTAGGTGATGAATAATGAAATTACCTCCTAATAATTAAAAATAAGATCAACATAGATGTTGCGAAGAAAAATATATACTAGTAGAAATTCATGATTTAATGATCGTTAATAAACGTTGTTAAAAGATTAGACGATGGTTAAGAGAACCATCGTCTAATCTAGTGTTGATAAATTGTTGTACGATTTAACGACAGTTTTTATCCGTCGTTAAATAGAACATTAGACGCCAATTTATATACAAAATTGTCATCTAAGATCTTCCTAAAATGATAATTTTAGCAGTTAGATTTCACATTTACGATGGTTTTTTTAGAAACCGTTGTTATAAATAATATATATAATGACGGTCTTAGTTAAAAATTTGCCATTATATCTACCTTATACACCAAAAAAATTGGTGCCGTTTTATTATTTTTTCCATAGGTTGGCCTATTAATCCTGTGATTCATTTTGGCCACATAATTAACACAAGTCACATGTTACCGAACATAAACAAATTAATATTACATATATTCAAATCAAAATGTATACATAAATTAAATTATATGTCCCTTTATAATATGTTATATGTACCTTTACAATATACATCCCTTTACAAAATGTGCCTATTCATTTATCACTTTTACCAAATGCTCATTAGTAGATGCCTCTATGTTTTTTAAATCATTAACACCGACTCTCATTATATCGCGTATATAACATAAGACGAAGAACCCGCATTTTCTGTTTCCCTCTTTTATCAGAATTTGCTGATAATGAATAAAAATTTTAGTACATAAAAAATGATATATTCCATGATGTGTGACGGACACATTCTTAAAGCGGCGATCTCGCAATGAATAGTTGGATCATTGTGCAATGAGTCTAAGTCGGGAAGGGACCTAACAATTGTAACGACTTGCACCTCCGCTTATTATGATATTATCTGTTTTGGGCCTG